ACAAATCAGTAACATTTCCCCCCTTTGAAAGTGTTGAAAATTATTTCAATACTTTCACATTATTTACATAACATTTATCCACTACTATTTTAAGAGTTAATATTTGTTTCAGCATATGTTGGTGGTGGACTGTATTCTGGTGGAATAATTGGAACCTCTCTCATGATCATGCGATTGACTGCAATTCTGTTAGTAAATTGCTCTTCAGACAAGCATATAGCAGCATGATCATCAAAAAGACAATTAGTAACAGAAGCAAAGTTTTGATTATGGATCGTACCCAAGAGCTTAGATTCAATCCTAACCCACTAAAAATTTTTCCCAGCCAATCTTCTGACATATCTTCTCGAATGGTTTCAGTTTCTTTTTCAATTTTGCTCAATAACTCCAAATCATGTTCTACGTCCTGAGTGACATTAGGAATATGAATACAACAATGGTCCAATCTATCCTTGAGGTATCCACACACTCCATGTTCTTTAAGTAAAAGTAGGTCTAAAGCCATTCTATTTTGAAGAGTCATCCTAGAAGTTGCTTGCAGCTGTATATTCAATTCCTTGAACCCTTTTTTTGTGATGTTTGCTAATTTTTCTACCTGACCTGTTAACTGATAGAGCCATTCTCTGTTTCTATATGAAGCTATAGGGTTCAAAAGGGATTCAAGAGCCCAGACAATTTTCACTCCTGTTGATGGTTCGTTCCATATATCATCATCTATTTCAGACCTCTTGGTTCGTTTCAACTTTAAATTCTCCAAGGGTCCTTTAAATGGCGATTTCTTCCAAATCAGACACAACGTTGGCATGCCTAAAGTGATTTGTTTTACTGTACCATCTAACGATAACTGTGTTGTCCAGGTTCCACCACTTAATGCCCAAACTAAATGTCCTGGACTCTGAATGGTAGATTTTCTGCAACTGAAAAAAGTTCCCCTTTTGGGTATAAATGTTTCAGTCAATTTGAGATCACTTTTAAGTCCTCTACACAAGCAGCCATATTTCAAGGCCGCAGCTAAAGGGGGAATTCTTTCGATTGCTGGGTCTTTAGTACTACAGTTGTAAATTTTCTCACATTTCCACCAAGATACTAGATTTTCTTTTTCCCGCAATGTACTCTTTCTGTCATCTACTGATGGCCAGACTGTATAAACTAATCCGTCCCAAGTAAAACACCAAGAAGTTTTGGCCATATATTGAAATTGAGACAGTATGGTCATAGACCATACTGAATCCCAACTGACTCTTTTTTCTGGTATAGTCTGATTAGTCTCACCACATTTCCATTCCATGATGCTCCGGCTCTCATTGGTTTTAACTCGTACATCATACGAGCACCACCCCATAGGACTACCCACTGTAAATATGTCTCCTATAGAAGAGGCTGGTGTAAAATGATGATTTAATAATTTCAGACAATCTTCTTCTCTGCCCATCCATTTCCATTGTTTTCTGATGACCTTCACCTGTTCAGGCCATTTAGTCACTGGGCTCTGTTTGCAGTGAGTGGTTTTGTTTTTATGTTCCAGGGTGGTTAAATTCATTGTTAGGATTCCCCAAGGAATAGATTCTCCTACTGCTCTTGGTATCGGCAAACAAGCAGTAATCTGGGTAACATTTTGAAAGCTGGCAAATCCCTTAATCAATCCTAACATCAAATTTTCTTCAGACAACTTCTTTGGAATGCTAATCAATTGTTTTGTTTCTATTTGTCTTTTGTTCCTAATCATTAAACCAGTCCCAGTTCCCACCAACATCATCTGCTGATCTACTACCAGGAAAACAATTACAAACAGATATGAAAAATTAGACATGTCTCATAGTCAGTGTTAAAGTCTTTGGATCACGGCTAATAATCTTCCATGGACTAGGTGCCTTCTTCACTCGAGTGTAGTGTATCCAAGCATCCGATTCTGCAATCTTAATAGCCGTGAAGGTGGTTAACAGTACCTGGAAGGGTCCTTTCCAGCGTTCCTGCAGGGGTTCGGAAGCCCACGTTTTCACATAGACATAATCTCCTGGTTGAAAGTCATGCACTGGAGCTTCCAGGGATAATGGTCTATTCCATACCACTGCTCTCCAAATTGCAGTCAAAGTTTTTCCTAAGGAAAGCAAATAGTTATACACATCTTGTTTCCCTTTTACATGCATGTTTGGATTAGGTTCTGGGGATTCATAAGGTTTTCCATACAATAATTCATAAGGACTGACTGAGGTTCCACTCTTTGGCTGTACTCTGATTCGTAATAATGCCAATGGAAGTGCTTGAGGCCATTTTAAATTAGTCTCTTGACAAATTTTACTTATTTGCCTTTTTAAGGTTTGATTCATTCTTTCTACTTTCCCACTGGATTGTGGCCTCCATGGGATATACAAATCCCATGTGATACCCAAAATTTTGCTAACATTTTGGACTACTTCTGCAACAAAGTGTGGACCTCTGTCAGAAGAAATCCCAATAGGAACTCCAAACCTTGGAATTATTTCTTGTAGTAACCACTTTACTACTTCCTTTGCTTGTGTGGAACGACAGGGAAAAGCCTCCGGCCATCCTGTAAAAGTATCAACCCCCACCAGGATGTATCGATACCCATTTTGCCTAGGTAGTTCTGAAAAATCTACTTGCCAATAATCTCCAGGCTCTGTACCAGATTTTATTCGACCCATTTGAACCTTTTTCCTGATTACTGGATTATTTTTCAAACATACTTCACATTTTGCAATTATTATTTTAGCCATTCCTAACATTTTGAGCGATACCACCTGTTTTTGCAAAGAAGTTACTAAGGCTTCTGCTCCCCAGTGGCATTCCTGATGCTTTGTTTGAATTATTTCTCTCATCAAAAAGGGTGGAACTACTACCTGCCCTTTAGGTGTTACCCACCATCCGGCTAGGTTTTTCTTAGCATTTAATAATTGACCTAACTTATTATCCTCTTCTGAATATTTTGGTTTTTCCCTAGGAAGGGTTACTGTTTTGGAAGGAATTAATGCCATTTGGAATGCTCGTTCCTTTGCTACCTTTCTTGCCGTTCGGTCGGCTAAATTATTTCCAACAATTTCCTTTGTGTTTCCAATTTGGTGTGCTTTACAGTGCATGATTGCTACCTGATCTGGTTTTTGAACTGCTTGTAATAATTGTAAAATTTCATCTTGGTGTTTAATATTTGATCCCTGAGAGGACAATAATCCTCTCTCTTTCCACAATGCTCCATGGACATGTACCACTCCAAAAGCATATTTTGAGTCTGTCCAGATGTTTACTTTCTTCTTTTCGCTCAGTTCTAAAGCTCGAATCAAAGCAATAAGTTCCGCTTTCTGAGCTGAGGTTGTACTTGCCAATGCTCCTGCTTCTATAACTGTGGTGTCTGTTGTTACCGCATATCCAGCGTATTGGACTCCTTGCTCCACAAAGCTGCTACCATCTGTATACAGTTCCCAGTCCGGTCGCTCCAATGGTACATCCTTCAAATCTTCACGACTGGAATAAACGTACTCAATAGCAGCCAAGCAATCATGTTCCAATTGTCCTTCTTCCTGTATGGAACTTAAAAACACCGCTGGATTTACCAGGTTAGTTGTTTTTAAAATTACATCATCTTGTTGAGTTAATATTACCTGGTACTTCATCATTCTGCTCGGAGATAGCCAGTGTCCCCCCTTTTGTTCTAAAACAGTTTTCACCATGTGTGGGACATAGACTGTTATTGTTTTTCCCAAAGTCAATTTCCGAGCTTCTTGTATGATCATTACTGTTGCAGCCACTGCTCGAAGGCAATTTGGCCACCCTTTACTCACTGTGTCCAGTTGTTTGGAGAAGTATCCGACTGGTCGTTTCCAGCTTCCCATCTTCTGGGTTAACACACCAAGCGCCAGGTGTTGTCTTTCATGAACAAACAACTGAAAATCTTTAGTTAAATCAGGAAGGCCCAAAGCAGGTGCAGACATTAAAGCGTGTTTTAACTCTATAAAGGCCATTTGCTGTTTTGGACCCCAAACAAAAGAAGAGTTCTTTTGGGCCTCATACAATGGTTTAGCTATTAGACCATAGTTCATGATCCAAAGACGACACCACCCTGCCATTCCCAAAAACGCTCTAAGTTCATGGATATTTTTCGGCTCAGGTATACCACAAATGGTTTCTTTGCGACCTTTTCCCAATTGTCACTGCCCTTTTGAAATCTCAAAGCCCAGATATATCACAGTCTGACATGCTATTTGGGCTTTCTTCCTGGATACCTTGTACCCATTTAGTCCCAGAAAATTCAAGAGGTCAATGGTTACCTGTATGCAGGTAGATCTTTCTTCTGTAGCAATCAGTATGTCATCCACATATTGTAGAAGTAAATGTTCAGGCCTTGGTTTGTCCTGTTTCCAGATTTCAAGCTCTTTTGCCAGCTGGTTTCCAAAAATTGTCGGGCTATTTTTAAATCCTTGGGGTAGTCTTGTCCATGTCAACTGCATCTTTCGCCCAGTTTGTGGATTTTCCCATTCGAAAGCAAACAACTTTCTGCTTTCCTTCTCCAAGGGTATGCAAAAGAAAGCATCTTTCAAATCAAGCACTGTAAACCACTGATGAGTCTCCTTTAACGCTGTTAACAACGTATAAGGATTTGCAACCACAGGATATATGTCCTTGGCTATTTGATTCACTGCTCTCAAATCTTGCACTATCCTATATTCACCCGAGGGTTTTCTAACTGGTAAAATAGGAGTATTATATTCAGATTCACATTCCTCCAAAATTTTGTACTCTAAAAATTTGTCAATCAATTTCTTCAGCTCCTGCCTAACTTCTGGTTTGATTGGGTATTGTTTAATTTTTACTGTTCCTACATTTTCTTTTAAATCTATTTTTACAGGTGCTGCTAATTTTGATTTACCAGGAATATCTGTTTCCCATACTGTAGGGATCACTGCAAAATCCACCTCTGGTGGAATTTCCTGCTCCTCCACTTTTTCTTGTATCATCAAGATTTCTCCTGTTCTTGACTCAGGTATTTTCAAAAAAAGTTCTCCTTCCTCAAAAACAATTTGTGCATTTAATTTAGAAAACAAATCTCTTCCTAACAAGGGTATCGGACATTCTGGTACATACAAAAATTCATGCGTAATTATTTTATTTCCAAATTTCAAATCCAGAGGTTGCAGGAATGGTCTGTTTTCTTCTTTCCCTGTTGCTCCTATTATGTTTGCTGGTTTTGCTCCAATTTTTCCTTTACATGTATTTAATACCGAAAATGTTGCTCCTGTATCCACTAAAAATTTAACTTCCTTTTCTCCCAGCTTAATTATAACCAGAGGCTCAGCTGGGTTCCCCTCCGGTCCTCTTCATTCATCCAAAACCATCATTCTGGCTACCTCCTTCTGAATATTTCCTCCTGAACACTGCTCATTTTTAGGACAATCTTTTTTCTAATGTCCTTCCTCCCTACACAAAGCACACTGATTCACTCCTAAGGGGGTGTTAAAATTCCGATTGCTAAAATTCATTGATCCTCCCCATCCACAAACACCTCATCCTCTTCCTCCACCTCGTCCTCTGCCTGCTGTTCCTGCTATTACGGCCAACAATCTATTTTCTCTGATTTTCCTCTCTTCTTTTTCCCTGTTATTATATACTTTCCATGCTGCCTCCAACATTTTATTCAGACTCCTTGAATCCTCTCCCTCCAGCTTCTGAAGTTTCTTTCTTATGTCCGGTGCCAATTGTCCCATAAAAATCAAAGCCAACT